GTACTGTCTGTCAAATCTATGACGCAAATAATATTTTTACAAAATATATAAAAGTTACATTAAGCTTAGGATAATCAAAAAAGAAAATCTAATATATAAATGGACGATCATAAAGGAATCTTTTGCAGCCTTTGCATTAATACTGTGTGCAATCAAAATTATACACTGTTGGACGAATCTACAAGAGAAATTTTAAAGACTGTTTCACAAAATCTAGTAAGCTGTTCATTTAAAACCACATTAATATTTAAAAATTCTAAGCTAAGAGTGCTTAAGTAGTCGGAGTAACGTGTAAATTAGAATTTCTAGTCAAACAATTTTATGATAAAAAAATGTTTCAGGTCTTGAACAATAACTACATCATGTGTTCTACTTGTTCCGTTAAACTGTACTCTGCTTTTGACTTTAAATCCACTTGTCTCTATGTTGAGGATAAGATTGCTTCTTATGTTAATCCCAAAGTGACCTTGGTCGATTTAAGAGAAGTTTATTTAAAAGAGCATGAGAACGAACCATCGGTAAAAGTGGAAGATGATCAGAAAATATGTCGATTATGTTTACAGTTAGTTAATGAAGGATACATGAAATTTTATGATGTGATAGACCTTATCAGTAGATGTCTCCCAGATGTGGTAAATATCCAGTTTATACATATTTTAAAGCTTGAAAACTTGCTAATATTGTTATGAATTGTCATATTCTAGAATTTTGATATCGTCGAAGATCCTGTCGTTTGTAGACAATGTTTTGCTTCGCTAAGCATTCAAGATACTTTTATAAGGACCTGTTTGGATGTTCAGTCGAAAATTCATAATATAGGCGACGACATTATCACAAATTTCAAGCATAGTGATATGTTTATTGAAAGCAAAAATGGTGAAATAAAATTTGAAGATGGACAGGTTAAGGAGGAGTTAGTTAAAATTGAAAAAGGGCTAAAGACGAATGAAATGCTTATCGAAACCGATGAAATTGACATAAAATCTGAAGCGGAATGGGAAAGGTGAGAAAGTTGAGAAAAATTAGATATATTAAATGAATAATTATTATAAATAATCTGCATCAATAAATTGAATATTAGGAAAAGTCTAGTAGGATGGTTACATTATTATTTATTTACGAAAATATAAAGTAAATTTGTACATTTCAACCCAAAAAACAACCAGATGTGGAAAAAATAAAGAATTTATGTATATTTTCTAGTGTTCCTCTAATTCAGCGGTATTCAAACTATGTTCCGCGGAACCCTGGGGTTCCCCACAACCTCTCTGGGGGTTCTGCGACTTGGCCAAAAATGCAATGCCCTTAATGCAGAATTTGCAATGCGATTGCAACTTACGACAATAGCACCTGATTTCAACATATGTAAAAATATTCAAGCACATCCCAGTCATTGATTCTATTTTCTTTTTTTTTTTTAATTCTCCAATAAATATTTACATTAATCTTTAAAGTCTTAGTTTAATTTTTAGTGGAATATTTATTTTGTTAATCGTAGTGTTTATAAATATATTATATAAACAGTAAAAAATGTGTTAAAAAATTTTTTTAGGTGTGCCGGTTCCTTATAAAAATCTAACTGTTGGCTAGATACCGCAAGTCGCAAAAGTTTGAACACTGCTGCTCTAATTTATTGGCGCAGTATTTTTTTAAATAGTATAATGATTATATAAACATTACATAGGAATAACAGTTTTATTTCCCATATAGGCAAACGTTTGATTTACTTCAAATCTTCATCAGGGCTGTAAATAATAAAAAAAAGACAAAATTACCTATAAATGTTTAAACCTGTTGAAAAAGTTGATGGCACTTTGTTGTACCAGATTTTCGTATTTGGGTAGATTCTCTAACAGTTGCGGCAAATTATTTCATTGAAAAGAGATGTTTATAATATTTTGAGTCATGAATACATTTTCGTATTAATAGTTATAAAAGATGAAGCAAGTAATAATAAAAATGTTTAATTTGTAGAATTTCAGCGATTATCTTTTTTATACAGAGTGTCCCATTTATACTTAAAAAAGAGTATCGCGTATCCCATTAACGTTTTGTTTCCGAGATATAGGGTTAAAGTTGTTACTGTTTTTCTTAATTGTCTTTAAATTGATTAAAATAACGATGTCAAAATTTGTACACAAGTATCAGCTGTTTCAAGAAAAACGTGCAAACCATTTTATTTCCAGTAGCAGTGATGTGGATGCTCGTAGGTAAGGGGTATAGTTGAAGGAAGAATGTGTTGACAGTTAAAATACAAAACGATGCATACTAGTTGAAAATCGATAGAATCTTGGTCATATTAATTTGTACATCATTCAACTCTGGTTTCATTTATAATTATGCAAATAACAATCGCTATTTTTTCAGTGATGTGCTTAAATGTAATACAGGAGAAGTTTCGTTAGATGTCCAGTCATGTAACTATGAATACGAGTTAAGCAACAGTCTAAATCAGGAAGCTGCTCTGGGACTTATACATCGTAAGAAAAGTTCCACCTGCCACCGTTTAATAAGCAAAGACCCTTTAGAAATAAAAACGTACAAATGTGATACATGTAGTTACGAAACTAAATATAAAAGTCACTTAAAAGTGCATCAGTTATCACACAAAAACTACTGGGAAATCCAAATGTACAAATGTGATGTCTGTCCTTATGAAACTAGGTACAAGAACGGCCTAAAAGTGCATCAGTTATCACACAAAGACCCTTCAGAGATCCAAATGTACAAATGTGATATGTGTGATTTTGAAACTAAATATAAAAGGGGTCTAAAACTGCATGAGTCATCACACAAAGACCCTTCAGAAATCCAAATGTACAAGTGCGATACGTGTGGTTTTGCAACTAAATATAAACATCGTCTAAAACACCATCAATTACTCCACATAAACCCTTTGGAAATGCAAAAGTACAAGTGTGACACGTGCAGTTTTGAAACTAAATATAAGCGTGCTCTAAAAGTACATCAGTTAACGCATAAATATTCTTCAGAAACGCAGATGTACAAGTGTGGTACATGTGGTTATAAAACTAAGTATAAGAATATCAAGAACCATCAACTGGTGCACGAGAATCCTAACATAGTAGATAAACGTCCTTTGGATGTCCGGGTATACAGATGTAACGAATGTGTTTTCGAGAGCCCATATAAACACAGTTTAAAGTTTCACATGGTAAAACACCAAGATCCCTCCACAGTTCAAATGTACAAGTGCGATAAGTGTGCCTTCCAAACAAGACACGAACGCAGTCTAACCAGGCATAAGCTGTCGCACGAAAAGTCTGCAGTAGTGTAAGTATGCAAACATACACAGATTTTTTAGCCATCTATCGATTAAATGTAATCAGTTCAACAGTAAATTTTATATATGTAACAGATAAATGCTAATTTTAATAGTGAATATGAGGGAAATTTTCTAAAAAGTATATTCCTGGTGAAAATTAAAATGATCATATTTTGGTCATAGTTGTTGGTTGTTGATCATTGTGTCTGTTGTGACTGAGTAGTATAAAAGAATAAAAGTGAGTTCAATGAGATAATAAACCTTTTTCAACCTATACAAACCGTTTACTTACATTTTGTAGTGTATACATACAGAATATAGATTGCTGTCTGTCAAATTTATGTAGATAAATGAATCTAACATCACAACAAGTTATTCCTTTATTCTTTCTGACCCTCGTGTATCTATGATCATTTAAATTTACCGCCCTATTCTCTATTATGTGTCTTTGTTTAGTTCACTTTAAGCTCTATATTTCTCATAAAAGAAAGATATTCTTTATGTCTATAAAATAAGGACGCCCGCAGATCTGACAAATTACGCATGTATCACGCTTATTAGATTTATTACTTTTTCTAACATATAACAATTTAAGTAATAAATGTCGATTTTTGAGGCATGCTTTCTTAGATCTGAGGACATTGACCATGCTGTCAACTGACGAAAATCATATTTGTCAACAGTTTGGTGCAAATTGTTCTAAAATGTTAATTTTTTTTATGAACAACTTTATTTTTTTCAGTGAATCCTCTTCAAACTACTTAAATAATGAAGAAATTGGAGATAAAACGAGGTGCACTTATAAAGATGTAGAAGAATTGAATGAACATACACTTGCATGTGAAGTGGGAGGCGAAGTTCCATTAGATGTACCGTCATGTAATGGTGATTATAAGGATGATCTTAATACTCCTACACAAACACATAAATGCAATATGTGTACTTTTGAAACTAAATTTAATGATGGTCTAAACATACATCAATTATCACACAAAGACCCTTCCGAAATCCAAATGTACAAGTGTGATACATGTTGTTTTGAAACTGAACATAAGAGTGATCTGGAAGGTCATCAGTTATCTCACAAACAACCCTCGGACACCCACATGTACAAATGTGATATGTGTAATTTTGAAACCAAGTTTAGAAGCAATCTAAAGCCTCACCAATTAATACACAAAGATTCCTCAGAAATCCAAATGTACAAATGTGATTCTTGTACTTACGAAACCAAACGTAAGAGGAGTCTAAAACTGCACCAGTTACTCCACAAGGACCCTTTGGAAATCCAAATGTACAAATGTGATACGTGCAGTTACGAAACTAAATATAAAGGAAAGATAAAAGTGCATCAGTTAACGCACAAAGACCCTTCGGAAATCCAAATGTACAAGTGTGATACATGTACTTACGAAACTAAATTCAAGGATAATATAAAAAAGCACCAGTTAAAGCATAAAGGTCCTTCTGAAACCCAAATATATAATTGTGACGTGTGTAATTATGGAACTAAATATATGCGGAATATCAAGAAACATCGATTAATGCACAAGAATCCTTCCGCGGAATATAAATGTTTGTCAGATGTCCGAACATTCAGATGTAACGAATGTGTTTTCGAGACCCCGTACAAACATAGTTTAAAATTACACGTGGTAAAACACCGAGATCCATCCAGAGTTCAAAATGTAATTAAAAACAGTTGAACAGTAAATTTTGTTTTTGTAATGGGCTAATGCTAGCGATAAACAATAACCTGCTTTGGTGTTGAAGCCAATGCTTGTGATTGTTTAGAAAAATTGTAATGTTTTTCAATGATTAGTAATTAAATTATTAGTCACAAGGTTTTTGTTACCAGACTTGAAGATTGGAATAGTTACAGTTTTAGAGAGTTATTATATAGTTTAATGGATTAATGAAATGTACATGAAATATTTATAAAATTTGTTTAGTTACATCATCGGTACCTGGAGAGCTGTTATTTCTCACATTTGAGATTGCAGAAATAATACTATTACTGTTAATAAGTGCAAGATAAAAAAAACCTTTTGTAATGAGTTTTTTTCTCAATGACTTGATAGAGGAAATTTCTACCGGGAGATTCAATACTTATCCAAAAAACTATTTTTGAATGTACAGGGGACCCTTACAAATACAATTTGTAAAAAAAATTAATAAGAGCAGTTAAAAATACACTTCTGCACACCACTGGAAACTGCTCCATTGTAAAACCTGATCTTGTGCAAGGCAAAGCATGCAGTCAGTGACCGAAATTGTAGCAAAATGTAATAAAAAGTGAACAGACAAAAAATTTAAAAAATTTCTTACCTAAGGAGCGAAATAAAATTTTATAACCTATTTTATATCAGAAAATTCAACTGCTTTAGCCGCTATTATTATTAACTGATAAAATTAATTTATTGTTTTAATTAATAAAATAATTTGAAATACCTGATTTTACACATCAAACCCGTCTTATCCAGATTCTACGAATTAACACAAATGTTGTCTTGCTTCACCACAAATTAAAAGGGAGTTGCTATACATGTAAGCCATTTGTGACACTTGAAAAACTAATGTAAACACTATCGCAAAAACGTTAATACTAAAATCGGATTTCAGTATTCGGAATCGCCTGGGGACACGTGGAGAGAGCGCATTGCACAAAACGCAAATGACGCTATAGACTACAGTAGCCCAATGGTGTAAGGGTTGAAAATACAACTTCAATAATTTTTTTCTCGAAAACTATAAGGTTTTTACAAAGAAAAATTTTTTTACGATATTGACTCCATTTTTCATGAAGCATGTATTCCCACATTTTTTTGGATAATTATGAAACACCCTGTATATGTTCTGTAGGCCAACTTTGAAATTTCTATATCCAACAAATTAGCTTTCCTATTTAAATGGTCTGTACAATGGATGGAATTAAGTCCTTTTTTAACTATTATTTTTCGTTAAATATTTTACATAGATACTTATTTAGTGTAATGTACTACTTTATTTAAATTATATTATAAACAATATTAGAATCATTTAGCTTATAAACTCCCCATTCTTCATATTTTAGAAAAATGTTCACGGTCCGATAGTTTGTCGATTTTAAACATTTTTCTAAAACATTTTGATCTTAATGTACATCAAGCTTTCATACTTATGGATAAGTATTATTGCTAATGTAATATTTTTTGTTATTAAAGTTGAAGAATTCGCAGTAACTCCGGTTGGTTTGTTGCTAATATATCACTTCTATTTAAAAGATCAATGGAGCCTATAAAAAAATTAACATAAAAACTAATTATTTGCTTATTCTGTTAATGATCTGTTCACCTATAAATCGAAACACCCTGTAATAAACATGTTATATTTTCTACCTATCAAGATACCAGGGATATTAAATAAAACAAAGATAAAAAATGAATAACTTTAATTTATTACAACCTTCAAAAATTATTAAAATTTAATACATGACGTGATTTTTTTATATGCAAAATCCATTTCTATACAGTGTGATAATAGACACCTTTGATTTCGTACAATGTTTATCCTTATCGAGAAAATGATTGTCACAAATTTTTATACAATTTCTCCTCTGATTCTTCAATTTGAATAATTCTGGTATATTAATTGCCTAACATTAATTTGCATTTATCTGGTTATATATCCTACAATCTCACTTGAAATTTCAAAGAGAATATTCCATCTTGCTGTAAGCCGGCTGAAAAGACCGGTCACATAACTGTCCATCATTATCACTGTTATCGGTCCAATGGTGACCGGTCACCACATTATTACAAAAACATATCTAATATGAAAATCTATTAAATAATATAATCATCCAAAGAAATGTTTACTTCCGTTTTTCTCATCATCTATATTTAGTATTGAAATTAAAAATAACGCGGTGTTATTAGGTTTCAAAAAGAAAATATATGCAATTTGCAGATTTGAGAAAGTTAATGTATGCCTTTTAGGGGACGTTTCAGACTGACTTCTACACCTATAAACCGAAATAACTTGTATATTTAAAATAAAATTAAAGAACATGGATTTAAAAGTACGCAACTAGTGGAGTTCGTTCCCTTATAGTACGGTAACGCATCAAAAGGGGCGCTGTAGAGATTTATAGATCTATAAAACCTACGATCTGTGGTTCTTATTTAGATGTTTTCCAATTGCCAGGAACTGCTCCTGAAGTGTTCTCCTACTGTTCTACTCTTGAAATACTCCAAAATTAAACAACTGGAACACCTCCGAGAGAAACATGTAGGTTATACGTGAGGGGACAGGATATATCATACCTTTATTTTTTCTTATTGTCTTTATAGCTGTGTATTTATTATTTACCAGTATTTGCACTTTGTAGAAGACAACAGTGTAATTTAAATTTATCAACCGATTTAGTTTTTATCTCAACAAGAGATGGCGGAACATGGTTCGTTGGTGATATGGCAATTAGCCTTCTATATTATTGGTTATTCTAGGGTTAGGTTATAGGTTATGTAGTGATTGTTTAGTTTTGAAAATCTACGGAAAAGAGAAAAAACATGGAATTAGGAAACTTAAAAGAAATATTTTGTAGATTGTGTTCTAATATCACAAGTTATACAAATTACGATGTAATAGGAAAAGTTCACAGAGATGTTCTTGAAGTTATTTTGCCGAATTTGGTAAGTTCAAGCTATTAACATTATGTTTATGTGTATATCGAGTGTTTATCATTTTTAATCTAAAAATTTGTTTTAATTATAACAATATCTTTCAGAAGTTAGAGGAGCAAGATAAACATGTAATATGTAAAGCATGCACTACAAAATTATCCAACGCATATAGTTTTAAATCGACATGTATGAATACTGAAGATATTATCGCTTCATATGTTAATTCCAGTAAAGTGTCAGTGGTCGACTTAAAAGAAATCTATCTAAAGGAAAATGGAAACATTCAGTTAACTGATATATCGGAAAATCAGAGAATTTGTCGATTATGTATTCAGTTGGTTACATATGGATTTGTGTCACTAAATGAAGTGGACATTAATATAATTAATAATTATATACCACAAGTTGTAAGTATAAAAAGAGTAAGAGCTTATTGTATTCTGTGTAGACTATTTTTATCACACTCTAACTGTGTGTAATCGTTTATTTCGAAAGTATCTGGCATTTTCCTAATACGTAAGAAAATGCTCTGAATTCATTTAAGTGTACTATATTTGTACTTTGGAAAAAATAGTACACCTAAGTTAAATTAAACTAAAACTTTATTTATACTGGATTGAACACTATGTCTAGTTAGATTAATTTTTGCAATTTAGTAAGTTGTTACATCTATTTTATTTAAAAATTAATAGTCATAAAGGCATAGTCAAAGTTAACTTATATTCTTTTGATCTGTTTCCTTAACATTTACATTTGATAGTTTTCTTACTGCATATTAAAATTATTATTTTAATTGTTTATTAACGCTCTTTAAGAGTATTGGTATTGGTAGATTTATACTAATGTTTCCCTGTTTTAGAAACTGAATGTTACCAGTAACCCTATCGTATGCGGGTCATGTTTTGATTCACTCCGTACTCATGACGATTTCATAAAGAACTGTCTCGATGCACATGAAAAATATAAAAGTGCTGATAAGCAGTCCTATATTAAAAGTGAAAAAATGGAAATAAAACTGGAGGTAGACGATCAGGATACTCAGGAGATAGATAAAGACATCGATAAGCAGTTTTATTTTCAATTTGAAGAGATCGAAATAAAACTGGAAGATGGTCAGAGGGCACGGGAAAAATGTAGTAGTGTTGATAAGCAGAATTATGTTAAACCTGAATATGTTGAAATAAAAGTAGAGGGAGATGATCAGCACAGGTAAGAAAATGTCAATCAAATTTTGTGTAATTTTAAAATTTATAGTACTGTCGATTTATTATTTTTTTTTAATAGAAAGGTATAGTGATAAAGAAAACTTAATTAAATTAATTATTTTGCTATTTGATATTCCTCCGGTCTATATGCCCCAGCTGGCATTGAATTACACCCAATATCCTTCTATATTATATTTACATTATTATTAAATTTTATAATAGTAGTGATTGTTTAAATTGTCTAAATGTGTGTATTTCTTCTTCAAGCCCAGAGTATGATTCAAAAATTAAATAGAAACATGAACTTGTCAGAAAAACTCTTAAAAACTAACAAACTAATTGATTTTAATTTTTTCAGCCATGGCTTAGACGTTGAAGAGGTTGAAAACAAAAAGAGGCGCATTTCAGAAGATATAGGAGAAATAAAGAATATTTCTCAGTCAATACACAAAGACCCTTTGGAAATCCAAGTGTACCCATGTGGTACATGTGGTTACGAGACTAAATATAAGAGTCATTTAAAAAGACATGAGTTATTGCACAAAGATCCTTCGGAAATTCAGATGTACAAGTGTGATACATGCAGCTACGAAACTAAGCGCAAGAATCATCTGAAAAGGCATCAGTTAATGCATAAAGACCCCTCCGAAATCCAAATGTACAAGTGTGACACTTGTACTTACGAAACCAAATTTAAAAGTCACCTAAAAGTGCACCAGATAACACACAAAGATTCTTCAGAAGTACAAATGTACAAATGCGTTAGTTGCACTTACGAGTCGAAGCATATGAATTGTATCAAAGCACATCAATTATCGCATAAAGATCCTTCGGAAATCCAAATGTACAAATGTGATACTTGTGCGTATGAAACTAAGCACATGAAACATCTAAAAACACATCAGTTGTTACACAAAGATGTATCAGAAATCCAAATGTACAGATGTGATACGTGCGGTTACGAAGCTAAACGTAAGGGTGATGTGACCAGGCATCAGTTAACACACAAAAGTATTTCGGAAATCCAAATGTACAAGTGTAATAATTGCAGCTACGAAACTAAACGGAAGAGTCACCTAAAAACTCACCAGTTAATACACACAAAATCCTCGGAAATCCAAATGTACGAGTGTGATATATGTAATTATAAAACTAAATATAGGAGTGACCTGAACAAACATCGGTTGATGCACAAAGACCCCTCGGAAATCCAAATGTACAAGTGTGATACGTGTAGTTATGAAACCAAACAAAAGAGTCATCTCAAAACTCACCAGCTAATACACAAAGATTTGTCGGAAATCCAAATGCACAAGTGTGATATTTGTAATTATGAAACTAAACATAAGAGCCATCTGAACAAGCATAAGTTATCACACAAAAACCTTCCAGAAATCCAGATGGTACAAGTGTAATACATGTGGTTATGAAACTAAATATAAGACAAATCATCCTTTAGGAACGAAACTTGCTCAGCAGGAAAGTGGGAATGTGATACGGCTACATTTATTGTGAATGCTATCCCACTTGTCATCCATTAGTACAGGATGGTCAGTGTGTCTTGAGAATGCGTTTTTCTCGACAGTGACCGATAAGTAATAATGAGTGTAAGAAGATAATTAAATTCTGAAAACGGTGTTCTGTATGAGATTTGATAAAAAAGTAATGGGAATTGTTAATTTTCTCAGAAAATATATATTTAATCTTCAATTTTTAACCCGTCCCCTTTAAAGTAGCCCTCCCCCCCCTGTAATATACAGTTATGCCAATGTACTTTCCAGTTTGAGAAACATTGGTGGAATGTCTCTTTAGATATCGTTTTGAGCACAGTTTGCGATTTTGCCTTTATCTCGTCTAATGTTGAAAAACGTCCTTTGAGTATCGTTTTGAGTTTGGGAAATAGGAAAAAGTCAAAGGGGCCACTTTCGGGGAAACAGTGTTGTGTTCCGCCAAGAACTAGTGGTGGAAAATCCTAGAGCTGTCTCTCCAGAGTTCGGGGCATTGCTTCACATGAGCCATATGAAATTCCTAATTCTATTAGCAAGCAAAACCTTTTTAACGTTTTACATGTTTTCATCATTGGTGGACTACAGGGAATACAAAACAATATATTTTAAATGAAAATCAAGGATTATATAATTAATTGTTCATCAATAACTTTATTGTCTTCACCTGCAACATGATTGACACTCAGATGTAAAGCACCTGCAGCTCGTAATTAAAGAATTTCAAAATAAAATTTCAGAGTTTGACGAGAGTTAACACGATACAGAGTAGGAGTTTAGGATTATTCTATCGGCTACACTTAACTACTAAATGTGACATCATTGCAAACTTATCGTAAATAGAGTGTATATTCACATTACCCGGTTATTTTTTTCCCAAATCACCTCTTGAAAATACTGCTAAAAAACTATTGAGGGATTCTTCTTATTTACTGTTTCTTATATCTTCATCTGTTATCAATGTTACCTCTGGGCTCCCATATGGGCCCAATTCTTTAATTAATGCTTTATATTAAAATTTAAAAAATGCTTCTAGATAACATTCACAAGATCTCCCTCTCATTTGAGTTTTCATTATAAATTGAATAATGCGGCATTAGAGGATGTTAATCAAGTGAGGGACCTTGGTGCCATTTTTTATTGTCAAGTGTCCTATTGTACTCACATTGAGAATACTGTTTCAAAATCTTTAAAGATGTTAGGATTTGTTCATCGTACTCGGATTGACTTCTCAGTTCATAATCTCAAAATATTGTATTGTTCTTTAGTCAGATCCATTTTGGAATATTGTTGTATTATTCGGCGTCCGAAGTATAATACTCATATTAATTTGATTGAAAATGTTCAATAGATATTTTTAAGACAGTGTGCATTTAAATTGGGTTACAAAAGGGAATATTACACGTATGACCAAATTCTTAGCGATCTTAATTTAATTTCATTGGAACATAGGCGTTTACATATTGATTTACTTTTTCTAAATAAAATACCCACAGGACACATTCAATCGTCGCAGTTTTTAAATATCGTGAATTTTAATGTTACTGAAAGAAGAAATAGAAACTCAGAAATTTTTCGTGTTCCATTTTTCCATACTAATTATGAACAGAATAAACCAATTACTAGAATCCTGCGTAATGCTAATTAAGCAACCAGTAAATTAGATCTATTTATTGCTTCCGCCCATCATTCAAGAGATTGTAAAAAATTACAAGTAAAAATGCTTGGTTCTTAAATGTCATTATCATCTGCTTTGTGTTTGTTTTTATTGTAAGTTGTGTTATATTTACCTTAATCATATTACTAACTAGTTTTAAGTAGCATACACATTTTACCTTGTATGTTTTTAAGTTTTTGCTCTAAGAGGGCTTGTCCCGTTTATCAATAAATAAATAAATAAATATGTGAAAAATGGCTGGAGTTAGAGGAATATTTGTTGAAACCTCTTTCTTTCAATCGTATCTGAAGAAGCAGGATGAATCATATTCATGTGACAATTTAGAAACATTGGTATTATGCAGATTTGGGGCCATCCAATAAAAATGATAGTAAATTGCCATAAATTTTAATCATTCTGCAAAGTGAGATATTTGAGGAGAATATTTGACCACTTCTCCAACTTCATCCATTTTTTCTGTCATCTGGCGATGTGAATATACAAGGTATATTTTAAGTCTGTGTTATATAGGGTAAGCTGACTTTATGTTAGTGTAGTACAAATCGAGAACTGTATGAACTAATTTTTAATCGACACAGATCAGTATGTGCATTGAACTGTATTCTGAACTGATTCAGAACTGCTCAAAAACTGAAATGCCAGTCAGTGGCCGCAACTATGTTTTCTGCTTATATTTAATTTTTTTGATGATGCAGTAATATTTCCAATATTAAAATCAATTGTAAGAACTTCTTCATCGCCTAATAAACGGCTTGATATAGAAATTCATAAAATATTTCTTAGGGCGGATGTAAGAATTGGAACATTTCAAGAACTGTTACAAACTGATTCTGAAAACTGAAAACGTAAGATTTGTCTTAGAAGTGGTTCTGAAAAAACCAAAACGGTATTTACAAAGTGCGCATGGGCAAATTGTTATAGAACCAAAGTCCGAACCAAAACAAAGCTTAAGAATGTAAATTAGGGATGTTCTGAATATTCGTATTCACATTCGCAAATGCTAATTATTTGAATCAAATTATAAATTTGCCTTTTGCACATTGTGTTGAACATTTTTTGCGAATGTGAATATATAATGCAATGTTTTGTTATAAGAATTTTTGTTCCTATTTTGAGGCAAGTCTTACTTTGATAAACTGGTGATTAAACGAAATTCGTTTTTCCTTTTTTTTTAAATAAAAGTTTTACATTTTTAACTACATGATTTATTTTCCCTTTATAAATTACAAAACAATATTTAATTGCACTTCTTTCATATTAAGATTATTTGTAAGGTACCTATTATCTTGCTTTATAGTTTGGGGGAGGTAACATCCTTGCTGGGTTGATATCCTCTTCGGAAAGATGCTGACATTATTTTAGGTGTAAGAAGCGAAAAACAATAATACTTTTTGCATAACAAGCTCTGCAGTTGATATTTCTAATTTTTAGTTACAAAACAGATTTCTGTGACAACTATAACATAATTTCAAATATTTTCTCGGGTTTTAAAACGCCAAAATTAGCATCAGGGAAAAAGGGGGATCAATCTTGAAGGACAAACATTGCAGTATATTTTTATCAAATCATATATAGAGTTTTATACTCTCACTTGCCAATAGCTGCTAATAATTTGCAACGTTTTGAGTGTTTGGTACCATTTAAGTATGCAATATGAAATCTAGAAACGCATTTGTTAAATTATTATGAAAACTTACATATAATATCTTATAAAAAAAATAAACAAATTATATTTTTGTATTTTATCTAATAATAAAAATTTTGCATTAATAATACAGTTACTAATATTTATTAAATGCGATTGATTAATAAATACATATATATTTTTAGTTAAATTAAAACAATGCATAACGCTCTGTTAAGTTTGAATATACTATTGTTTTGTTTTGTGTTACCCTAATCTTTTAATATCACTAACTATTCAAATAATGTCCAATAATATAGGGTGTCCCGAAATTCATGCAACAAAATTTGGTCATAGATTCTTAAGATAAATTTAGGGGACCCATATTTTTTTTTCTTGCCAACTGGTCTCCTCTTTAAGAGTTGCAGCCCCCTGACATCTGCCGCTAAGGAGTCCTTTTTATATCTCAAAACCATGTTGTATGATAATCACTAAATTTGGTACACAGAGGTTTTATAATATGTGGAATTTCACAGTGTTACGCTTTTTAGCGAGAAACCCCCTTAAGACACTTTTTCGTTGGCCCCCTTGTCTTTCGAACCAGAAAAATTTGGTCGCAATTTTTTTTTTAATTGTTATCTAGAAAACCATTGAATTTGGAAACTTTTTGTTTCTTGATATTTGTTTCGTAAAACGTAATGTTTTTGAGAAAAATGACGATATGCATTCGATCACATTTTGACATTTTTCTCGAAACATTGCGTTTTACGAAAAAAGTATAAGGAGACAAAAAGTTTCTAAATTTAATGGCTTTTTAGTGGACTGATAATTTTTAAGAAATTTAAATATGCGACCAAAGTTTTTTGGCTCCATAGACAAAGGGGCCCACGAAAAATTGTTTTAAGGGGGTTCCCCGCCAAAAAAACGTAGCACCATCAGATTCCACATATGTCATAAAACCCCTGTGTACCAAATTTAGTGATTCCCGTATAACAGGGTTCTGAGATATAAAAAAAAGATTATTCTTAGGGGCGGACTTCAGGGGGTTGTAACTCCGAAAGTGGGGGGCCACTTGGCAAAAATAAAATATACGGGTCCCCTAAATTTGTCTTAAGAATCTGTGACCAAATTTTGTTGCATGTATTTCGGGACACCCTCTATAGCAAAAATCCAACGTATAAATCTAAAGTAAAGTTTTCATTCTTGTTTTAGTCGCCATGGTCCCAATATGTTTCGGAGTCTATGGGAGCCATGTCATTTATGTCATTATAGGTTATGTAAGAATTGTTTTGATTCTTGTTTTGATTTCCTGTTTAACGAAGAGAAAACAATGCAAGCACAGCATTACAAAGAGACAGTTTGCAGATTGTGTTTTGATACTATAAGCGTTACAAATTGCAAAGTAATTGAAGGAGACCTAAGGGAAACACTAGAAGTTGTTTTTCCCAACCTGGTAGGATCCCGTTGTTGTGATTACTTTTATGACTATGATTAAATGCGAATATATTTCAGAAGTTTGAGAAGAGAGATCAAGATTTTATGTGTCAAACGTGTGTAAAGAACTGCCTTGATGCACAGGAAAAATATAAGACCATTGATAAACAGTCTTGCATTAAAACTGAAGAGATTGCTATTAAACTGGAAGAATATGGTCTAGACGAGCAGGATAAATATAAAAATGTTGATAAGCCGTCTTATATTAAACCTGATGATATTAAAATAAAACTGGAAGATGAACAGCATATACACGAGAAATATAAAGAAATTGATAAGCCGTCTTATATCAAACCTGAAGAAGTTGAAGTAAAATTGGAAGAACATGATGCTCAGGAGAAGTGTAAAAGTGTTGATGAACAGTCTATTAAGTCCCAAGAGATTGAAATAAAAGTAGAGGAAGATGACCAGGATAGGTGAGGAAGAATATCAATAAAATTTTGTAATTAAAAATTTGTTTTCAAGTTCAGATAATTATTAAATAGTAATATACAGTGTGACCTATTTAAGATGGAAACACCTTTATAACAAGGTATTATTTGGTTTCTCCAAGTTATTTATAAAAGCTTAAAAAAACCCTACAGAATATTCTTATTGATTTTTAATTAGTAAAGATGACATACTTTTTTCTCTTGTTTTCAAATTTTGTCAAATTCTGTTAGAAATGTTTTTAATTCAAAATCTTACTAAGCCACTTGTCTCCCTAGAAGGTATTTGTACTAAGTTCAGTGAAAAAATATTTGTTACTATTGGCAAAATGTAATGTTTGTTATTTTTTCTATTCTTTCTAAATCATACAAGCAAGTCTGAAATATCGAATTCCTTAAATGAAATAAAATAAAAAGTAAAATCACATTTAAAACTATAGGAGCTTCTACTAATGTATTTATAGGCTTTTCTCAAGATAAACACGTTTAACGATAAATATACCATACTATTTTTGATACTTCTTAATGGTAAGAAGCATATAAAAACAAAAATTTGTCTTTTATGCTACATAATAAATATGTAATAACAAATGGAGTTTGACATTATGCATTTATTTTTTTTACATAGAACCAATTGTTATTTTCAGGTATTCTTTATTGTTACTATATGTCAGAAATAATATGGTATTTTTATTGTCAAATGTGTTCATCTTAAAAATGTTTTGTTGCATTGATAACAAACAAGTATACCTCTTTCACACAAAACTATGAAAATCTTAAAGATTGTGTCCTAGCAGCCCAGAAAACAGGTCCATAACTTTTTCTGCTGCTTTTCTGCCATTGTTTTGAGAGCTTCTTGGTTTCAGGCTGGTAGTGATGAATCCAAGTTTTATTAAAATATGATATAGATATTCCTTTAGATTATGTTGAAATAGTATTTGATCAATGAACCATCACCATTTGATCCTGAAACTATTTCATTATTTTTTAAATTGCTTATACTCCCTATGTACTTTGAAAAAAATGTCAGAAACTCACAGTTATTTTGACATTGCACTAGGCGCCATCTCTCGAGTTTGCACAGTATTATCAAAGACACATCGTAACTTTTTCTATTTAAAAAATACATCTTATTTAAACACCTATTTTTTTCATTTTCGATGATACAATCTGAATTTCTAAAAATATTTGTATGGAAAAGAAATTTATTTGCTTCATTTGTGTCTATTCAATTAGGAACATTTTTTTTTTCAGTGATTTCAATTCGTACAACTTACATTATGGAATAACTGAAAATGAAAACGAGTACACTTGTGAAAATGTAGAAGAAATAAAAAATGAATATACTTATAAATATGAGACAGAAGAAGTTCAAATAAACAAGTGTAAAACCTTGTTAGATGAACCATCATATAACAGTGGGTACAAAAGAAAGCTGACAGGAAGTTTAACACACAAAATTTCTCCAAAACTCGAGAAGTACGATGATGGGACTAATTATAAGAACAGTTCCATGTGCCATGATCTTAAAGATGCCTCTAAATTGCAAATGTACAAATGCATTACATGTGCATATGAAACAAAACATAGGGGCCATCTGAGAATGCATCAATTAACACACAAAGACCCATCAGAAATTCAAATGTACAAGTGTGACATATGTGGTCATGAAACTAAGTATAAAGGCCACCTGAAAGAGCATCAGTTATTACACAAAGACCCTTCGGAAATCCAGATCTACAAGTGTGATATGTGTACTTATGAAGCTAAACGAAAGGGTCATCTGAAAGCACATCAATTAACACACAAGAACCCTTCGGATATTCAAATGTATGAATGCGATACGTGTAGTTATGAAACTAGACAAAAGAGTAATCTTAAAATGCATCAATTAACACACAAAAATATTTCAGAAATCCAAACGTACAAATGTAATATGTGCAGTTTCGAAAGTAAACGTAAGGGTTACCTGAAAGAGCACGAGTTGTCGCACAAAGACCCCTCGGAAGTTCAGATGTATCAGTGTGATACATGTGCGTTTCAAACTAAGTATAAAAACTGCTTAAAGAGGCATCAGTTACAGCACAAAGACCCTTCAGAAATCCAAATGTACAAGTGTGATAAGTGTACATATGAATGCAAATATGTGATGGGCCTAAAAATGCATCAGTTATTGCACAAAGAGCTTTCGGAGATCGAAATGTACAAATGTGATAGGTGTAATTATGAAACCAATATTAAATGCAGGTTAAAAACACATGAATTAATACACAAAGATTCGTCAGAAATACAAATGTACAAATGCGATACTTGTGCTTATGAATCTAAGCACAAGAGTCACCTGAAAAGGCATCAGTTAAAGCACAAAGAACCTTCGAAAATCCAAATGTACAAGTGTGACACTTGTACATACGAAACTAAATTTAAAAGTTATCTAAAAGTGCATCAGTTATCACACAAGGACCCTTTGGAGATTAAAATGTATAAGTGTGATGCTTGTACTTTTGAAACTAAATATAAGAATAATTTGAGAAGCCATCGATCGATACATGAGAATCCATCCACAGAACCAAAGAAGGAATCTGATCAACGTGACTGTGACACATTTAATCAACGCTACGCTATATGTCCGGTAAGACATAAACGTTCTAACAATCAAATATTCAAATGTAATGAATGTGCTTTTGAGACCGCACATAAGCAGAATTTAATAGTTCACGTGTTAAAACACCGAGATTCCTCGAGAGTACAGATGTACAAGTGCGATAAATGTGTTTTTCAAACAAGGTATAAACGCGGTCTAACTAGACATCATTTGACACACGAAAACCATTTGGAAGTGGAAGTATGCAAGCAAAAATAGGGACTGTTACTTATGTTTATCAAGTAAAATGTTCTATTCTAGAAAACAGCTATTTTCAGAATAACAGCTGTGATTGGTTATGGATACTTAACTACAACTTACAGTAGTCTATGTAGACGTACAAAATAAAAGCATAGAAAGACCAGAGCATCTATTAAACAGCTGAAATGAAAACTTGGAGCAAGTGAGTCTCCCAAACTAATAATTACTTTGACCAAGTGCCTGGTAATTAGTGATTCAATAAAAGGACTTGCAGTAGTGTTGATAGTGTTTTTGAAGTAAATCCTTATATTTAAAACTTTATTTAAAAAAATATGACTAAGTTAGTTATGAGGCTTATAGAAAATTTGGGATTTTTGAAACAAATTTTTTTTCTGTAGGATTTTTATCGTTACAATTGACATTGATGAATATATTAACTTCCCTATAATTTTTAGGTGGGTATCTTTTAAATTTTATAATACTCAAATATTTTCAAATAATTTTATCTGTCTAGGTAATGTTCTATGTATTTTCAATTATAGGCAGATTTTGTAAATTATACTGATGTTACATTATTTTATAAATAAAATCTTGTCTATATATAGGATGTATAATAAAGACAAGTAAAGGTTTCCAGTTACTTATTTGCTGATTTTAAATACCTAGGTCTTTCATGATCAACATTAACTTTAAGTTTTTGTAATTTTCTGCTGTTTAATAAAACTAGGCATATTAAAAAAGAGGAGTTGGGCGACAATTAATTGCGTTTTTCTAAAAACAGTGCTTCCAATGACTTAATTTGGAACCTTCTTGCAAATTGAAATTTTACATTATAACGTAACCACAGTATACATATTGTGAGCAAATCCATATTCACATTCACAACAAGTTGTACGCATGTGTTATTGATCACCAAATTTGCGTCATGAAGTTAATAGTCTAGAGATTGCAAATAAACATAATTTTGTTAATTTTCACCTTTGTGGACCCGTAACTCGTTAACGAAGGTCCGTATAAAAAAATTATATAAAAAACTGATATTTTGATCTCATCTATTTGTACTCGCCTTTTTTGTATCAAGTACCGGGACACCCTGTATAAATAAATATATGTAAACGATGAATAAAAGTACACAGCTGCTAATAGTAAGGTTAGTGATTTACCTGATCAAAATAAAATTTCTAATCATCTGTCTTCAAATAGTATTTATATAATTATTTCTATGCACTATCCATTTTTTTTACAATTGAAATTCCGACTTCTCACTCAGCAGTGCAATGTATAGTTTCATTACTTACTTATCAGGGAGGCTTTCGGTTTGGCAAAACATAGTAGCTATTAGCAACTTATATCAGTTCAGAGTAACTCTAAGCTGCTATTAGCTATTAATAGCTACTATTTTTGCCAAATCGAAAGGCCCTAAGGAGTAAGGGGAAGTAAATTTCTAACCAAGTTGAATCAGATTATTTAAGATTATCTCGGATTTCTGTCAAAAGGAAACCAGCTATTAGGTATCTCTCTACAAAATGTAAAGTCAATGTATCTGTCAAATACAGTTTGTGTTTTGTGTTGTGAATTTTTTAGTGGAAAAAAATGCGAGAAGTTTGTAGGTTATGTAATCATTATTTGGAATAAATACCTGGAATTTTTCGTCATATATAAGAAAAAATACAACCAGGAAACTTTAAAAACATATTACGGGTTAAATTTTAATTTTATAAATAAATGTTAAAAGAAATCATAAGGGAAAACTGTAGTAGTTTTGCTGAATCTATGAACAGGTTATTATTAGTATTACTTTAATGAATATTTTTCAGAACTTGGAGGAATTACATAATGGTTGGTTTATAAAAAAGTATTAGTCCTAACTTAGCCATAACTTAACCTTAATCTTAGTCCTAAAAAGTTAAATGTACAGAATGTAATGTATCGGTTTATAAAAATCTTAACCTTGCCCTAGTTCTATACATTACATTTTGTACATTTAAATTTTTAGGACTAAGATTAAGATTAAGTTACGGCTAATTGTAAGTTAGGACTAATACTTTTTTATAAACCAACATAAACATGCACTGTGTAAAGTGTTCTCCATAAAATTATTTGACGCCTTTAATTTTAAATTGACATGTTTGGATACTGAGTATAATTTTCGTTTATGTAAAGTTTCCTATAGACAATCTAAAAATTGCCTAGTTTTTAGTTATTCTTCTTCAGTTTCTTTAAAAACAAAAACAACAGTTATTCCACAAGAGATTATCAGTAATATATTTTTTATTGTAGGAGAGTGCTACCGAGGGTCCTCTTACAAGCAGACCGTGCTTTGGTTTTCTTACTACTCATAGTTACTTTTTTAATGAAGTGCCTTGATTCACAGGAGATATATAAAAAATATTTTACGTTGAAGAGATTGCAATAAAAATGGAAGTTGGTCCGGAAAAATATAAAAACATCGACCAGCCGTCTTATATTAAACCTGAAGAAATTCAAATAAAACTGGAAAATGGTCTGGAGGTGCAGGAGACATATGAAAACATCGATAATCCATCTTATATTAAACTAGAAGAAATTGAAATAAAACTGGACGATGGTCGGAATGCACAGGAGAAATATAAAAGTGTTGATATTTCGGCTTATATTAAATCTGAAGACATTGAAATAAAGATAGAGGAACATGATAAAGATGGGTAAGGAAATATCTATGAAATTTTATAACAGGTGTATGTACTCTCTCTATATAAACTTTTATATACATAAGTTTTAATATATCAAGCTAGAAGTTATTTTGATATAAAATACTTTTTGCATAATAATATAGCTGCATATCGGGAGGATTTACTAATTCTTCTATTTACTCTTCAGTACTATCAGAGATTTAAAGGTAGTAAAATATAAATTAACAGAGACAAGTTTTGATGATTAAAAGGATAATCAACCATACGTAAAATTTAAAAATCTGCAAATCACAATCTCTATTTCTGCCAAGATCCAGAGTGTCAAGGCATTTTTAATCGGTGAAAAGTTGGGCTATCCGATAAGTTAAAGCAAAGCCCACAAATTTCGGCGTTTGGATCCAAAACACATACAATTACTACCCTCAGATCATACAAATTACTCATTTATCGTTACTAATTATAAAGTTCATCACCTTTATTACCCTAATATAATAGTTTAATTTAAAAAAACTGTCTCTTTTTGTGGTACATATTCTTAGATCTGATAACATTGATGGCCAAAGCTCCTTTAAAACTATGGGCAACGTTTACAATTGGACGGACCCTCTTACCCTGAATATCGTAACATTTGAAATGATTTTGTGATGTCGTTCCACATTGATTTTGATTTCACCGCAATTGATTTTTTTAAGATTTCCCTCATTAAAAATAAAAAAAAAGTTTAAAAAGTAGGTGATATTTTTGATTCTACATAAATTAATCAACCCAAGTTTTTGTATGTGGGTCTATTTTTTAATTTATTTATTCCTTTTTTTTAATAGAGGTAATCCTAAATAGTCATGGAATATTGAAATCTTTTTTATTCGAAATAGGTATTAAAACAGAATACATATTTTTTTTTAGTAATTTTTCTGACAAGGAGTAAATAAATTGGATTCGGTGCATTTAAATTAGCTTTCTAAAACACTTTTACTTCTAAAAATGTGATAAAATGTTTTAAGTTTGGGTTTGGAAACATCGATGGGCAAAAGGTATTCTATATTTGTTAATTTTATGCAAAAGAATGTATCAAACTTTAGTTAGGTATTTCCACTAACCTTGTTTTATGTCTATTTCATGAAAATTTTAATTTTTCCAGTGATTCCACTTCATACAACCTAGATGATGAATCAATTAAAAACAAAAGAATGAGCATTTCAGAGAATATAGGAGAAATAAAGAGTGACAACAGGCTTAAATGTGAAAGAGCATTTAATGAAAATATTACATCGATATCAGTTCACAATGAAATACCCAAAAGTCAAAAGCTTATATTTCAAACGTATGAACCTACATTAGACATGCAATTCCACCTTTACGACGGTAAATATGAAACAAAACGTGAGGCGAGTCTCAAACGGCATTGTTTAATACAGAATAGCCCTTCAAAAGTACAAACGTACAAGTGTGACACGTGTGGTTTTGAAAGCAATTATAAAGCAAGTCTGAACCGACATCAATCAATACATAAAGATCTCTCACAAGTGAGAACGTTTAAGTGTGATACATGTAGTTACGAAACTGAATATAAGGGTAATCTGAAAACGCATCAATTAATGCACAAAGACCATCTGAAAATCCAGATGTACAAGTGTGACGTATGTAGTTATGAAACTAAGTACTCCAAATGTCTAAAAGTGCATCAGTTAATACACAAAGATTCCTCGGAAATCCGAATATACAAATGTGATAGTTGTAAATATGAAACCAAATATAGGGGGCATTTAAGAGTGCATCAGTTAAGGCACAAAGACCCTTCGGAAATCCAAATGTACAAGTGCAATGCATGTAGTTATGAAACCAAGCACAAGAATCATCTAAAAGATCATCAGTTAACGCATAAAGACCCGTCAAAGATTGAAATGTACAAATGCGATACTTGTACTTATGAAACGAAATATAAAAGTGGCCTAAAAGTGCACCAATTAAAACACAAAGATATTTCGGAAATCCAAATCCACGTATGTGATAAGTGTAGTTATAAAACTATTTTTAAGAGCAGTTTAAAAACGCATCAGTTAATACACAAAGATACATCGGAAATACAGATGTACAAGTGCGATGTTTGTACATACGAAACTAGATACAAGAATAGTCTAAAAGTGCATCAGTTAACACATAAAAATCCTTCAGAAATCCAAATGTACAAGTGTGATGTCTGTATTTACCAAACTAAATATAAGTCGGATCTACAGAAGCACAAGTTTTCACACAAAAACCCTTCAGAAATCAGATTGTACCGGTGCGATATGTGCGGTTACGAGACTAATTTTAAAAGTAGTTTAAAAACACATCAGATAATACACAAAGATTCGTCAGATGTCAAAATGTACAAATGCAATACTTGTACTTTTGAAACTAAATATAAGAATGGACTGAAAGTGCATCAGTTACTACACAAAGATCCGTCGGAAGTCAAAATGCACAAGTGCGGTATGTGTAGTTATGAAACTGATTTTAAGAGCGGTTTAAGGATACATCTGTTAATACACAAAGATTCTTGAGATGTCAAAGTGTACCTATGATACAAAACATAATCATCTAAAATTGCATTGGACAACAATTTTTCATAAATCCTCATGTACAAGTGTGATGCATGTAATCATGAAATTAAATGTAAGAGGGATCTGAACAAACATCAGTTAAAAACCCTTTAGAAATCAAATTGTACAAATGATTGATGAAATAAAATTTGTATTCCAAATAAACTGTAACTAGTAGTGATTATTGATTTTCAAAGTACCATTCCCCAATCAAATCTATATATTTCTGTAAATTTAAGCAATCGATAACAGAATACATATTTAAAAAAGTTTTGAGTCGTCAGTAAAAAACAAATATTAGATTTTAGTTTTAGGTACAAATTAATAAATAAAATAAATATGATTCAAAGTTGGATCCTTGCGGTATACATAAAAAAATAATGATCCGGCACCATTAAAAACCTAAGACTGCCAGAGTACTGGAAAATTCGGATTAATGGAAAATGTATATGTAAACAGTATTAAATTAAAAAACGTTACTTTTAATTGTTTATTAAGAAAGAGATTGGTACATAGATACATACATATTACAGTTGTGTATGCATATATATGCATAATGTAATGTTTTTATGTTTCTGTAAAATAATCTTTCAACTAAACTATAACTGTATAAACTGTATTATTCAAGGATAGTAGATAAACGCGGAAAAAATGACGCCGGATTACTGGACGTACCGGTGTAGTGAAGTGCCAGATTATAGATTCTACTGTACTTATGCTGTAACTGGGCAACCCCATACATTTTTTTAAATATATTGAAATTATTTATTGAATGTCTTTATGAATTACGTGAACAAAACAATCTTTATTAAAAAAAATATTTAATAGTATTAAGACATCTGAAAATAAATTTTATGTAAGAAACACTTTCTTGTAGACAATGTTTTGACGTTTCTGTTTAAAAAAAATAAAGAAAATGGATATTCCGAATATTCGTATTCGTAATTTATTTGCCATAAATTTTGTGAAAAATTTTGGAACAAATTTTATTTACAAAAACATGAATTGGTGACAAAATAAAAGCAATAGCAGTTATTTTAAAAATGTACCCATTAATATTGTAAATCAGATTCCTCAAATTAAATCAAATGATAGATATAGCAAGGAATCTATAAATAATACTATAAGCCTATTGCCTTACAATGTCGTTGAACTTTATAATCTCCTCATAAAAAAACTTAAAAACAAATATTCTTCTGGCTATGATGATATTCCAGATTTCATCATAAAAAAGGTACTAGATATAATTAGTAAACCTCTAGTTTACCTCATAAATTTATCCTTTTCAACTGGCAAATATCCAGAGTTATTAAAATTGGGTAAAATTATACCAATTCAAAAAAAGAATAATTCGAATCTTATAGAAAACTATAGACCTATAAATATACCTAGTGGTTTCTCTAAAATATTTGAGAGCTGTTTTTTGAATAGACTTTTACCATTCTTAAAGTGTCATAATATTATTTCACCCAATCAACACGGATTTTCATCAGGAAAGTCAACAGCAACTGCACATCACTCTTACTATGAGGAGATAATAAAATACGTTGAAGCAGGGGAGTGCCCTGTTGGGATCTTTTGTGATCTCAGCAGGGCATTCGACTGTGTAGATCAAAACATACTTCTAGACAAACTGGATTTGTATGGAATCCGGGGTAATGCATATAAATGGATAGAAAGTTTTCTCTTTCAGAGAAGACAGTTTGTTGCTATTTCTAATGATAACAAATCGGCTATTAACTCACAATCAGCAGTTATTAATATAGGTGTGCCACAGGGTTCCATACTGGGCCCAGTGCTATTTCTTTTATATATAAATGACATTGGCGATTTGTCATCTTCGGTTAAATTTACTATATATGCTGACGATATTTCCATAGTGGTATCTGACAAATTAAATAATATATTAAAAAATAAATGTAACAATGTTCTGCATGACCTTAATGAGTGGTTTTGTGAAAACAGGCTTTTTTTAAATTCTGAAAAAACATTAGCATTAAGGTTTCATAATTGGCAAAAGACTTGTGAAGAACTTGATCTGCAAATAAACGGCAATCGTATGACAATAGGTACAGAAAGTGTTAAATTTTTAGGGCTTTATATTGACGAATGTTTAACGTGGAAGTCTCATTGTGAGCATATAATTACGAAATTAAATTCTGTACTTTATCAGTTTAGAAATCTTAGAACAGTTTTAAACATTAATCAACTAATAAATCTATATTACGCTGAAGTTGAATGCCGATTGCGATATGGAATATGTTTTTGGGGGCAGTCTTCAATGTCAGGTAATGTTTTTGTCGCACAAAAAAAAATATTGAGAGTAATGTTTCATATGCCATCTTTTGTTAGCTGTAGGGATTTATTTATAAAACATCAAATTTTAACAATGCCATCTCTCTTAATATATGAGCTTTGTTTGTATATACATAATAATCAGGACAAATTTATAAAACATGATAATATCCACTCTATAAATACAAGACAAAAAAATAATTTTTATGTGCCCTTTTGTAGGTTAAATGTTGCCAGCAGATCACCCAATTACTTGGGTCTAAAAATTTTCAATAAGTTACCTTCTGAACTAAAAAGTTGTTCATCGACTGGACTGTTTAAAAAGCGCTTAAAGCAGCATTTAGTATACAAAGGATTTTATAATATTAACGAATACTTTGATGTATAATATATGTGTATTTGTTGTTTGTTAAAGTGTTGTTTTGTGTGTTTAGTATTTACGAATTTTATGTAGCTTTTACACTGCTATTGACAATTCCAATACAATTTGTAAATTGTCTAATGGAAATAAAGAAATTGAAAAAATTGAAATACAATTTGTGGTTTTATTTTTCCCTTATAAATTACAAAACATCAAAATTTAAAAAAATTGCACTATCCTCGCATTTACTGAGCCTCATATAGAGGATGTAAATTAAGTGTATCAAAAATTTCCTAAAAATCGTTATTTTATGAAAAAAAAAAGGTTCATATGGATGAGATAATGTTAAAAGGTTTTGAAAAATATTACATTTATAAAAATCTCTCTAGTCTGATGAAACTTTTTATAACACTTGATTGTATTTAAAATCATAATTATAAGAAAAGAATTTTTAGATTTTAAAAAACGGTACTCAAAAATGGTTTGTTTTCTAACTAAACTGTAAAATGGCCTTTTTTTATTTGAAATACAGTCGGGAAACAAATGTGCTAATCAAATTTCAAAAATACTCAGTGGTGTCAGAATTCTGAGGTTTCTAGTAGAATGGGGATGGACATCAATATCTTCTCCTCTGTTTGACGCAAGGAATATTTGCATCGGCATATTTTTTAGAAATAAAATCTTATATCCCGAACAACCCTAAAAAAATCTTCCTATTCTTCATTAGTGACTAGAATGATCCTTATGTCCCATAATTAATTTTAAAATGCTTTTTATTCTTTCTTGCGATACATTAACATTTTATTTCCTTCAGTGTCGCAAAAAATATTTTTTCCATCAATTTTGCATTTATATTTTTCTAGGGCAGACACAGAAAAACCATTGCCAAATGTCCACCTGAAGACTGATCTGAAAAAAAATTGTTGAAATTAAAAAAATATATTAACTATTTACTCGAATGTTTCGGGACATGTTTGACGCGGACCGATGAAACTTGAACTAACGATTTAATTAGTTAAAGGTCAAAGTTTGGTAAACTCATATAACGAGCGTTCAAATAAAAACGTGGTCAAGTTGGTTCTGAAAATTTGGACGTAGGGCGTAGCGTATAGCAAATGAACTTAAACGTCATCTGTCAAAGCGCTATATCGCCGCTATCAATTTGAATATTTTCGTTTTAAAAAGCGTTTAAAATGGTGTTTTCTCAAGAACAAAAAGTGTTTATCATAGAGTCCTACTTTAGAAATGGACGCAAGATTGATGGAATATGGAAGTATTCTATTGAGGAATGTTTCATAGAATTTCAAAATCAATTTCCCGGCGTTGTTGAGTACAAAATTTTTCAAAGTGCAGTTCAGCGTTGTGTTAATGTTTTTCGTGAAACGGGCAGTGTAACAAGAAAAGAAGGAAGCGGCCGACCTAAAAAGCGGACTGAAGAATTAAAAGAAAATGTCCAACAAATAATGGAAAATGCGCCAAGAACTTCTGTACGTGTTTTATCACAAATGGTGGGAGTATCAGTCGGTACCTGCCACACAGTGTTAAAAAAAGATTTGCGTTTGTTCTCCTATCGTTTAACTTGTCAGCAAGAACTTCATGAAGTTGATTTTCCGCGACGGGCTGTATTTTGTGAATGGTTTTTAAACAACTACGGTGAACTTCATAATATCACCTTTTTTTCTGATGAAGCCTGGTTTCATTTAAGTGGTTACGTAAACTCACAGAATATGAGAATGTGGTCTTCTGAAAAACCAGATAACTTTTTTGTCGAGGGCCCTCTACACGCTCAAAAAATTGGAGTTTGGTGTGCTCTCAATCGAAGGAGGATTTATGGACCTATTTTTTTTAATGGTACTCTTACTGCGCAAAGGTATAGAGAAGAAATTATCGCTCCTTTTGTTAACCAGCTGGAAGAAAACGAAATTACAAACTTTTACTTTCAACAAGATGGCGCAAGGGCACATACGGCAGGCGAGACGATGAATATGTTGAGGGAAGTTTTCCAAAATCGACTAATAAGTCTCAATGCTGAACATGAATTTCCACCGAGGTCATGTGATATTACGCCGTGTGATTTCTTTTTGTGGCCTTACCTTAAAAACACTATTTTTGAACTGCCTATTCCTGATTTAAACCATCTGCAGGCTCGACTTATAGACAAGATTCGTGAAATTAACAATACCCCGAGCATCTTAGAAAATGTCTTTAATTCTTTGAGGAACAGGTGTGAAAAGTGCTTGGAACAAGGAGGGGGACACTTTCAGCAGCTGCTTTAATTTATTGTTATAACAAGGAGGGGGACACTTTCCGCAGCTCCTTTAATTGTTTGTTATTGTTATCACGATTATTCTTTAAAATAAAGTTATATAGTCATTAACGTTATTGAAACTGACAGCTGCTATACAGCTCGTTGAGAAATGAGGTTAAGTTGGTCGCTATAAGCTACTCCCTACGTCCAATGTGTCAGAGCCAACTTCGACCACGTTTTTATTTGAACGCTCGTTACAAATCTGTCAACCATTGACCGATATACTGGGATGGGCAGGAAATAAAATAGTACTTCACATCTACAAAATCAAAATTTATTATTTAAAAAACTGTTTAAGGTAGATACAGTTTCATTTAACCCCTTTGCTATATTATGATCCCTTAGTACAAGGGTTGCCTTTTATATTTCGGGAATAGACACAACAAAAAAGAAATTGATCATCATTATATGGCTTTATTGTTTTTCAAAGCATTCTCCATGAACGAATTTTCAAAGCACTTTTTCCAATCTGATTGAAGTACCTTCAAAACATGCATTTTGAAGGCATCAACCCCTTCTTCAGGCGTCGAAAAACCACCTCATAATTTATCTTTGATATGTATGAATAAAAACAAGTCATCGAGTGATTTTGGATGACTTTTATACGAAATTCGTCAGTGAGCAAATCGCGGTTACGACTGAATTCTGCATACCACCAATATACAGTGGTCTTTGATGGTCCTTCATCGTCGAAAGTCAAACTAAGTTAATCGATGTACTGTTGTTGAGATAATCCACGTCGAAAGATGTAAAAAATAATCGCACGGAAATATTCACGACTTACTTCCATTTTTTGACCGATACGAATTCTTCAAGTCACTGTAACAACACAGATAGCGCTTGTACATCAATTTGGAATATTTAAAAAATGCTGAATTGCAAATAATTGAAGGTGCATTTTAAATTTAGAACAATGCAGAATTCTACAGAAAAATTATTTTGCATGTAAATTTAAGTTTATTAACGATTGATTAAATTTTTCTTATTTTACGCTTTTATCCCGTTTGTCCGAGGGAAACATGTTAAACTGATTTTTGAGTAATATTTGAAAATGAGTATACAAGTTTTGGTCAGCAGTTTCCCCCTCGTGTTTATCTAAATGGTACTGCTATATCCAGTGAACATAATTTTTCAAAATTAGAAATATTGACGTATATTTTTTTAAATTCATCTATCCACATCTACATTCGAGAACCATTGTCCACATGGGAGGCCAGATGGTCCCATTAAAAAAAACTAAAGGATTAAGATCGGGTAATCTGGCTGGCCAGTCTACGGGAGCGTGTCTACCATGAAACCAGTCTGCAGAGCAAAATGAATGTTTAAAATGTAAGGTAATTGTTTGAAAAAATTCAAATAATATTAGAGTACAATATGGGTGGCAGTGACACAATTTAAGAAAACACAGGTACTATATTTTTCAGTTCATTGCCAAAATTCCATTCTACAATTTTTGTTTTAGTTTGCTGTTTAGCTGAATAGGTTTTGAGTGAAAAAAAGAAACAAATAAAAAAGGGTACAATTTATGAAACCTTACCTCACTTAGTTTCCCAACTATATGTATCACACTCGTTTATTTCGATTTTTGAAGAAGAGTCTTTGTGCCTTAGCTTATGCACTTTCAGATTACTCTTTTGCTTAGTTTCAAAACAGCACATATCACACTGGTACATTCTGATCTCTGAAAGTTCCTTGTGCAATAACTGATGCACTTTTAGACCACTCTTATACTTGGTTTCATAAGTGCAAATGTCACACTGGTACATTTGGATTTCTGAAGGATCTTTGTGTCTTAACTGATGATCTTTGAGATATCTCTTATGTTTAGTTTCATATCCACATGCATCACATTTGTAAGTTTGGGTTTCTGAAATGTTTTTGTGTGTTACCTTATGTCTGTTTAGCTTATCCTTAAATTTAGTTTCGTAAGTACAAGTGTCACACTTGTACATTTGGATTTCCGAGGGGTCTTTGTGTATTAACTGATGCACTTTTAAGCCCCTCATATATTTGGATTCATAAGTGCACATATCACACTTGTACATTTGAATTTCTGAAGGGTCTTTGTGCTTTAACTGGTGCCTCTTTAGGCATTTTTTGTACTTAGTTTTGAACTTACACACATCACACTGATACATTTGAACTTCCGAGGGGTCTTTATGCGATACGTCGTGCTCTTTCAGGTAACTCTTACGTTTAGTCTCAAAACTACATCTATCACACTTGTACGTTTGGATTTCCGAAGTGTTTTTGTGGGTTACCTGATGCACTTTCAGATGACTCTTTTGTTTAGTTTCGTAACTGCATGTATCGCATTTATACATTTGGATTTCAGAAGGGTTTTTGTGTGTTAACTCATGGGCCTTCAGATGACCCTTCCGCTTAAATTTGTAATTACACGTATCACACTTGTAGATTTTTATTTCCGAAGGGTCTTTGTGCAATAACTGATGGTCTTTTAGATGTCCCTTATATTTACTTTCATAGCTGCATACCTCACACTTGTACATTTGGATTTTAGAAGGGTCTTTGTGCGTTAACTGGTGCACCTTCAGATGGCCCTTATGTTTAGTTTCGTAAGCACACATACTGCATTTATACATTTGTGCTTTAGAAGCATCCTCATGACACGTAGAACTATTGTTGTAATTAGTACCATGTACAAATTTATCCTGTTTGTACTTCTTTAGTTTTGGAGCAATTTCGTGTGGTAAACTGCCCGTCAGCTTTCTTTTATTTCCACTCTTATGTGGTGTTTTATCTAATAGAGTTTCATGTTTGTTCATTTGAATTTCTTCTGTCTCACATTTACACACATATTCATTTTTTATTTCTCCTTCAGCTTGATAAGTGTGCTTTTTATTTTCAATTGCTTCATTATATAAATCATATGAGGTGAAATCACTGAAAAAAAAAAATAAATAAATAAACAAAACCTTTTGTAACAGAATAAACAGATGAAACACATAAATTTCTTGTCAAATACATATTTTCAGAAATTATCAGACAAAACGCAAAACTCTTTTAGATTGAACGTTCCTTTTAAATAGAAATTTTGAGGTGCTATTTAATAATTCTGTGCAAAATCAATAGATCAATAAAATGCAATCTTAAGATTACTATCAGTTTCGGGCATCTTTTTTAGAAGTACATACCATATTTTATTCAGATTTAAACAGTAATCTGTTTTAGGTGGTCATTTACAACGATCGGGCATAATAATTAAAAAAAAGTTTTGTGATAAAACATTTTCTAAGTCAGGATGAAGTGAGAAATTAATGCCCGGCTTAATAAACACACATTTGCATTCGATACTGATAATGCCATTGAAACAATGGCCTATTTTAAACACTTGGACAAATCTAATTATATGGATCGGATTAAAAAAATTGGAGTGTTTGTGGACTAACAAAGAAATCGACAATTTTAAATTGTTTATTTTTGATCGTCGATATTATGTACAGATTTTGAACTCCAGGGATTTATAAATTTTCATAAAACGACGAAAAAACCATTCTACATTGTCCATTGCTATAAGTAGTTGAACGCCCAAAATGCGATTACTAATATTTCAATAGTAAATTTCTTGGATTTCAAAATTATCGCACAAATACTTTGATCTTATTTCCTTATTTGGTAATAGGAATAAAATATATCTGATTAATTTATTTTTTATTCGAGAAATTATTAATTATTTGTATCTTTTTTTGTTTCTCATTAAATTTGGATATTTTAGACAAAGCTGTTATTACAACCTATTTCTACTAATGTATTTCCCAACAGCTACTTTGGGCCTGGGGACATAGCACCCTTGGCAGTCTAGACCCCCACAATAATGATTTATAGGTCTACATTCTTCTTTTTTTTCAAATTTATCACTATTAACTATGTCAAAAGTTGGTGTACATACTATTTTCATCGGTTAAATGCATTTATTTCGAAAATGGTTTGTTGTATATATTGTATACCTTTTTCACTTGAAAAAGTGTGAGAATGTCAGAAATAACAATATAAATTGATACATTTTCTTGAGCTCTAAGACGGCTAAGAGCAATCTGCTCTTGAGCCTTAAAGTGGCTGTCCGTAAATTCAATACATTTGCAGAAGTAGCATCAAATATCACAGTTTTTGCCCAAACATTATCCAGATTTATTGAAAACCAAAAAACTTATATTGAAAAAGCGATTTTCAACTCCAAACTTGCAAAAGTTAATAAAAAATTCGAGTGAGACCGAATAAAAAAAATATGTAAACTTGTGATGTATTTGTCCTGCTCGAATTTGAAAGATTGTTCATTATTTCCTGAACATTCTGTATAAGCGGTTTTTTCTGTTTTATTCTGAAATGTTGCATCCCATCTGTCATGAGCAATTCATAAATAAATAAATATCATTTGTGATCGTGCCGTCCTTTAGAATAAGCTTTTTATAGGCATTTGTGTCTATGATCTGATTAAATTGCAGAAATAGAACACCCAGTTTCAGGGTATAAAGCCTTTTTTTTTGTTATTATTAGCACTACTATTTCTTTCTCTATTAAATCTATTAAAAAACTAATTATTGCTAACGACTGAAATAATAATAATGAATTTTAATGTTTTGTCAATTATTATCAAAATTACTAACAGAACTTATCCAAATTTGTAAACGAAGAGAATAAGTTGCCTTTGATAATTAAAAAGTTAATGGAAATGTTCTATGACTAGGAAGTTTTTTAAACTTTCAGAAAAAAACTTGAAGAAATCATATCATATACGTATGTCGTGGTTTAGTTTAGTTTAGTTTTGTTTATTTATTTTGCATATAGACATTAATACATGTATAGCAATAGTCAATATAATGATACAGTAAAACTGTACACTATTATTACAAATAAAAAGAAAATAATTGTAAATATAAAAACATTAAACACAAAAACAATTAAAATAAAAACATTTAGCAGTTAAAGGTCATAAAATTAAAAAACCTTACAATTTAAAATATTCTGGAAGAGAATAGTAACACCTATCGATCAAAAACTTTTTTAAAATATGTTTAAAAACATGCAAGTTTTTACAAGACTTAATATTTTCCGGGAGAGAATTATAAATTTTTAAGCCAATGTGGTCAGGAGATCTTGAAGCAATCGATAATCTTGCAAATGACAAATGGAAGTGTTGCCCAATTCTAGTATTAGCAGAGTGAATATCACGATTCAGCATAAACTTATTTTTGTTTTTATAAACATATACACACAATTCCAAAATATATAACGACGTAACAGTTAAAATATTGAGCTCAACAAAAATACCTCTACAACTATGCGTGCTAGAAAGGCCAGCTATTGTTCTTACTATTTTCTTTTGAACTTTAAGTATTGCTTGGGATAGAGTGGACTCACCCCATAAACAAATACCATAACGAATATGTGAATCTACACGAGCATGATATAAACTTAACAACTGTTGTCTCGTTAAAACATCTCTTAGATTTAAAAATAAAAAGTTTATGGAACTTAAATATGAAACCACATTTTCACAGTGTGGTTTCCATGTCATGTGCTCATCGAGTAATATACCCAGAAATTTTACAGGTTCTGAGCTAGTCTTAATTGAAGAATTACCAATTTTTATGCACAGAGGCTCACACATTTTTTGTCGAGTATGAAAACGCATAATT